ACAGGAGGCAATTGTTCCTCCTTCTTCAGCAGAGCATCTGGTGGATTTGAACCGCACACCTCTGGGATTGCTGTGCAGTTTCCTGCCACTAGGCCACCAGAGCTCACCTCAGTGCCTGGTTTTAAAACACTAACCTCTAGGCTGATGGTCAAGCACTCTAACTGCTATACTACCAGCGTTCCTTTGTCTTAGGACTTTGATTGCAAATCAGGTAATTTTTTCTCCAAAAGGAAGAGACATTTCACAATGTTTGGAAAAACTTCTGGCTGTCAAAGTAAAGGTGGAAGGGGCAGTGCTACCGGCATGTCATAGGTAGAATTGGGCAATTGATTAAAAGTGGTCCAACACATGGGCACTAAAAAAAAAATAACCAGCCCTTTCTCTCCAGACACCACCTCACAGCAAAAGTCACAAATGTCATACTTGGCTGAGCAAACTTGCCCTTCAGGAGCAACAGACATAGAGAAGGTGGTGGAAGAAAGACCCATGATCACAGCCATTCTCACTCCTCACTTACCTTTTGATCGGGAAATGCATTTGTCTGGACCCTCAGATACAGGTCTGATTTCTAAAGAAATTACGGAAGAAATAGAAGCGTTAATGAAGCTTCCCATCCATGCCTCAGCCCGTATCTGGATTTCGGCAGGTACACTCACCTGTCCGTCTGTGCTCAGGTTTAATAGTTGGCACCAGTAACGCAACGTGTCCCGATGGACCTCAGTAATGGGAGGCAAAACGTCTGGAAAAGGAATGCGCACCATTTTGCCACCAGACGTTCTTCGGCGAGGTTTGACTTGCTCATTTGTTTCAGAAGGAACTGAGAAAAAAAGTGAAACCAAATTGTTGTGTTCTGAGGAGTAGAAACCAACCCATAGCTGACCCTCCAGCTGGCTTTCACAGGAGATGCCCATTCTTCTTCAGTGGAGCATCTGGTGGATTCGAACTACGCACCTTTGGGGCTATTACTAGGCCATTAGAGTTCTATAAATTGATCGTTCCATATGTTCCAATATTTCTTTTTTCTTATTTTACAGAGTTTCTCACAAACCATTTTGTGAATCACATTTTGTGAATCATTGAAATCACATTACATATTGTGTTTTATAAATTAGGCTTCATGTGACCCTCCATTGGGTTTTTGGCTGTAACGTTTAAGGCATGGGAAGAGAAATGAGGGAATAGAAATAAAAAGACTTGCTCAAGACCATGTAACCCTTGAAATGACAGACATGAGACACAAATTTGAGACCTTAAATTCTAAACACTACTTACACTAATCTTATTTTTCTCTCTTTCTTTCCAAATATGTAGACAATGATACTGGATAATTCCTGCAATGCTTGGATTTTGGAGCAGAAAAATTTGCTCCTACAAAAATCAGAGAATGACCTCAGGTCTCCCGACAATCAAGGATGTGAATAAACTTCATTTTTCTCTATTGTACCTCATCTCATCTTGCTTAAATCTGGTCTTTCTCTATTTACATTATCTTAAAGTTTTCATCATTGTTGCAAAAAAGAAAATCTCCAAGAGACCATTACTCTATGGACTTAAACTGAGCATAGAGAACATAAAGGTCTCTTAAGAGCTGCTAGAAAAACCATGATTATTGCGGTTTTCATCACAATAGCAAGGAGTTAGAAACAACCTAAGTTTCCATCAACAAACGAATGGATAGAGAAGCTGTGGTATAGTCACACAGTGGAATACTGCGCTGCATTGATAAACAAGGAACTCATGCAATATTATTCAAAATGG